GTTGCTGCCGCGTTCGTCCTTCACCACTCAGGGCCCTGAGCGGGAGCCCAACCTGTTCCGTCATTATCCTGCTGACACTGAACAACAGGTTGTCTCGCGTTGGCACTGGCTTCCATATGTCAGCACAGCTGTGAGCGGTCAGCCCAACCAACCATCTCCACGGCCCCCACTTTTGCCAGGGATCTTGCTTGGAGCGTATTTTCAAGGAGACACGAGTGCACATCTTTTACTTGTCAGATCCCTCTGTATCAGCATGGATTAATTCCTTCACCTCCCCCCCAAATACTGGTTCCTAGTGGAGGAAGCATCCTGTAAATTGGGTAAAACACGTTTCTCCCTTCGTCTTTTCCCCCACAAAACAAGTGCACTATTCTGAAATGTTTCTCCATGGAGCATCAGCTATGTAGAATTATACAGTGTGTTAACGGCACGCCACAGACATGAGTAACCAGGGGGCCAGATATTAATTGCTGCTAATGGAAATGACATTTCTCTGCAGAACGAACTGCTCCGGCCTCACGTCGCATCTTTGCAGGTCGCTTTCTCTTCCACCTCTGCGTGATGGTCGTAACTGTTACAGAATCACAGAACCACAGACTGGTTGAGGTTGGAAGGGACCTCTAGAGATGCTCTAGTCCAATCCCCCTGCTCCAGACACCCAGAGCACAGGGCACAGGGCGGCATCCAGGTGGGTTTGGAAGGTCTCCGGAGAAGGAGACTCCACAGCCTCCCTGGGCAGCCTGTGCCAGGGCTCTGTCACCCTCACAGGAAAGAAGTTCCTCCTCACATGGAGATGGAACTGCCTGTGTTGCAACTTACACCCATTGCCCCTTGTCCTGTCACTGGCCACCACCAAGAAGAGTTTGGCTCCTTCCTGCTCCCTACATTCGCCCTTCAGGTATTTGTACATATGGATCAGATCCCATCTCAGGCACCTCTTCTCCAACGTCACGCCGCCCTCGATGTCGTTCCCGTGCAGCCGGAGGCACGTGGCAATCAGCAGTTTCAGTTGGTTCCCATCAGAGCACATGTGCGTTCAGTGCAAGCCCCGAGGAGCCCAAATCACCTTGTCCTCTTAGGCCCCTTGCAGCCTGAGAAGTTACTAAAAGAAACTGGTGCCACCCCTGAGAACTGCAGTAGTTGGTTCTCTTTTCCTCCCTCCTTTTCACTTAAGCCAGTAAAATCGGTGTGCAGAACATACAGGTTTCATGCATTTCCCTGAAATACGGTTTAGTAAATTAATTTTTGCCTCAGGGGGAGTAATACATGTTTTGTGTCGGGGGAGGTAGCACTGCAGATGATAAGCAGCAATAAAAGGCGGGGGAGCGGGGGCTTTCCTCTGAAACACATCGAAAGTGACCCCTGAAGTGCTCATTTTCCTTCCCGTTGCTATGGGGCCTCTTGAAACGCTGTCACTCCGTTCTGCAGCAAGGAAAATTCCTATTAGGATACTAGCAGCACAGGAATCCAGGCTTGTGTAAATGCGAGAATTTCGCTCAGATACCATCCAGTGAGTGTTTTGGAGAATATATGCTGAATATGCCCCATATTGCTCAGTGTCTCAGGAAAATGAGAAGTTTCCCAAAAATACAAAAAAGCTGCAGCTCTCAAAATGTAGTAGTGCTTCAAAATGTAGTAATTTCAGAATGCTGTAGTTTTCTCAAAAGTACATGAATGTTCTTAAAAACGTGCGCACAGATAATATGTTTTTTTTTTTTACAACAACTGTTTTATTTATTTAGTGCTTTTTAAAATATATCTAGTTGTTGGAATCCATTTTACTGGAAACAAAATGTTTGAGTTAAATAGAAGCAAAACATGACATTTTGACAGCATGAAATGAAAATATTTCTTAGGAGGAATATTTCAAAATCTGTTTTGTTGTGTTTTTTTTTTTTTTAATTTGAAATAAATTTCCAGGTTGTCCTGCACATACAAAAAAAAAATAGTAAAAATTGTCACCTGCTCTATAGACTTCAGATGTCAGAAGATGTTTAGAAGTGGCCTTACTAGTACACTTGTTAAATAAGAACATTGGCATGAGAAGTAGATGCAAGATGTTTCATGTGTATTGTGCCATTTTGTGTTGCTTTGCATGCGCAGGCCCAGATTTCTTCCACTTAATTTTAGGCACTGACCTTAGATGCCTGGTCACCTTAGAGCCTTCTCCAGTTACTGAAGTGCCTCCAGGGAACCACTCAGAGCCCAGACCTTTATGTGCTGCCTGGAACGTGGGGCTGCTGCGACCCAAACCCCGAGCCTTGCCCTCCTGCCCAGCCTTCACGTTTCGTCCTATTCTGATGCTTCCTCTTACTGTACTTTACACCCTTTAATATCTCATATCCACGGGCAGGAATTCCTAAAGCAACATGACTCGCTTTAGTGCGAGAGTAGGGAAGAAGCTTCATCTTGAGAGCCCGAGAGCAGAGGAAGGGCTCGGCTGGGCAAGCAGGATTAGTGCACACTGAGCAAGCACCCGTACTCATTACAGCCTGGCGCTAATGAGTCTGTGCGCACGCTCTGGGGCTGGGGAAGGAAAGCCCATCAAGATGCCTCGAGTGACGGTGTGGGGCTGACGGAGCGGTTGCTTTTGCCAGCCGCTGGGCCCGTTGATCAGCCCCTGTTGAGTTGTGCTTGT